GGTGATGGAGGTGCTGGCGGCAATGGCGGAGGAGGAGGATGGGGATGAAGGCTTCGTGAACGTCTGCGACAGCGGCCTGCTGCTCTACGGGGAGATACACGAGAAGCTCTTCCAGCACCAGCGGGAAGGCGTCGCCTTCCTGTACCGCCTGCACCGGGAGGGCAGGATGGGCGGCATTCTGGCTGATGACATGGGCCTGGGGAAGACCGTCCAGGTCATCGCCTTCCTCTCGGGCATGTTCGACGCCGAGCTCATCCAGCACGTCCTGCTCGTCATGCCCACCACCCTGGTCAGCAGCTGGCTGGCGGAGTTTACTCGCTGGACCCCCGGCATGCGCGTCAAGGAGTTCCACGGCAGCAGCAAGTCGGAGCGCACCAGGAACCTGGAGAAGGTCCAGAGGAAGAACGGCATCGTCATCACGACCTACCAGATGCTCATTAACAACTGGAAGCAGCTTGCCAGCAGCAAAGAGCAGGAGTTTGTCTGGGACTACATCATTCTTGACGAAGCGCATAAAATCAAGTGCCCATCTGCCAAAACGACCAAGTGTGTATACGCAATTCCTGCAAAGCATCGCCTCCTTCTCACGGGCACCCCGGTGCAGAACAACCTGCGGGAAATGTGGTCCTTGTTTGACTTTGCATGCCAGGGCACTCTCCTGGGCACAGCCAAAACTTTTAAAATGGAATATGAGAATCCTATTACTAGGGCGAGGGAGAAGGATGCAACTCTAGGCGAGAAAGCACTGGGGCTAAAGATATCTGAGAATCTAATGGCGATTATAAAGCCATACTTCCTCAGAAGAACCAAAGAAGATATCAAAAACAATGGTGCTGACAAACCAGATGCTCCTCTTCCTGAGGATCCGTGTGAGAACAGTGCTCCTGTCATGCCATCTCTCACTAGGAAAAATGACTTTGTTGTGTGGGTGTACTTGGCGCCAGTGCAGGAAGAAATCTACAGGAACTTTCTCTCTCTGGATCATGTGAAAGAAGTGCTGATGACAACCCGATCGCCTTTGGCTGAGCTGACTGTCTTGAAGAAGCTGTGTGACCACCCCAGGATTCTGTCTGCCAGGGCGTGTATCCAGCTGGGCTTGGAAGATCAGGAGTACTCTGAGGAGGAGCAGCAGAGCGAGGCAGGTATGCCTTCAGACACTAACAGAATAGACCATCTTTCTGATGAGACTCTGATTCAGGAGTCTGGGAAAATGCTGTTCCTTGTAGGACTTCTAGAAAGACTGCGAGAGGAGGGACACCAAACCCTGGTCTTCTCGCAGTCGAGGAAGATGCTGGATATCATAGAGCACGTCTTGTCTCGCAGACAATTCAAGATCATGCGTATTGACGGAACGGTAACCCACCTAACGGAACGGGAGAAGCGCATTAACGCCTTTCAGAGTAACAAGCACTACTCTGTCTTCCTGCTCACTACACAGGTTGGTGGTGTTGGTATAACCTTAACCGCAGCCAGCCGAGTGGTGATCTTTGACCCCAGCTGGAATCCAGCTACAGATGCTCAGGCTGTAGACAGAGCTTATAGGATCGGGCAAAAAGAGAACGTAGTAATTTATAGACTGATTACCTGCGGTACAGTGGAAGAGAAAATATACAGGCGGCAAGTATTTAAGGATTCATTAATAAGACAGACTACCGGTGACAAAAAGAACCCATTTAGATATTTCTCCAAACAGGAACTAAGGGAGCTTTTCACATTAGAAGATACTCGAACATCTGCAACTCAGATCCAGCTGCAGTCTTTGCATGCCACCCAAAGAAAGACTGACCTGCAGCTGGATGAACATATTGCTTATTTGCACTCTCTGGAAATGTTTGGCATTTCTGATCATGACTTGATATATACGAGGGAAATAGCTCATGAGGAGCAGGTGGACAGTGAAGAAGCCCACCAGTACATTCAACAGAGGGTACAGAAAGCCCACAAACTGGTTCAGTTGGAGTCTCAGCTTAGAGACCAGAGGCTGGAGGGGATCAGAAATGCTTGTGAAGAGATGTGGCAAAGGCGACCAGAACTGGTTTCCCAGCCAAAGAAGCTTTCTCCAGGGCTGAACAACATAAATCGCTTTGTTTCACCACCAGTAGCTGATAAACACGAAAATGACCAAGTTATTGATCTTACAGAGGACAAGGAGGTCCAGGTTCTTAATGTCAGCTCCAAAATGACAAGTCTGACTATTGATGACTTGGATGGAGAGAAACTGGCACAAGATGTGTCCAGTATGGATACAGAGCTACTCAATACCAGCAAGACAGTGAAACAATCCAATACAGAAGAATCTGAGGAAAATCTTGAATCGAGCATTATACCATCATCACCTGGACTTCATCCACTTGATAAAGAGAGTGAGAGCCTCGAACAGAAACAGCGTTCCCATGTAAGTTCACATAGCTTGATTGAGGCAGGGAACGGCCTGTCTGGGCATCATCAGCATTCCTCTAATGAATCTGGTGTGGCTGACGATCCCAAAAGCTTAAGAGATGCAGAAATGTCAGATCAGGTACTTGACCCACATACTGCCTTGGGGACAGACAAGAATGACATTTCTGAGCCAGCGCTGGCTGCCGCAGTGCCAAGTTTATCAAACGTTACGCCAGAAATTCACGGTGGGCTCCAGAATTCTCACGTGGTGGAAGCCAGCTTGGAGGATATGTCTGTGCCTTCTCTCCAGGACCAAGTTGACTTCAATCTGGTCTTGGAAGAGTCTGAAGAGGAATGGCAAGATGCCTCAAATGGGGAAAAATCACTGGAGCACCCAGAAAAGGAGGGCTTCCAACTAAAAGCAGAAAGTTGTTGTAAGTCTCCAACAAAAAAATCTCCAACAAAAACTTGGCTAAGTGAGTACAGTAACTGTGGGAAACCTGGTCACACAGCTGAAGAGCCAAATAGCTCCCTGCAAGAGAGTGAAGCATCGGAGGAAAACGGCAGTGTCTTTGCTTTTGGTAGAAAGAAAAACCTAAGAAGAATTGTTTCAGACAGTGAGGATGAAGACCATTCCGTTATGACCCTGGAGGAAAACCAGTCTGAGAAAAGGCCTTCTCCCTTGAACAGCCCTCTGCATCAATTTCCGGAAGGAATTAGTGCATCTACTCCTAAACGTGACAGAAATGTAACAACAACCGTCTTTTCTCCCCAGCTAACTAACAGCGGTAACAGGTCTACCGCCTCCAGGCGATCTCTAATCAACAAGGTGGTAGATGAGGTTGAGGATATTGGTGAAATCATGGGAACCACTGATGAAGATGATGACTATGACAGCGATAGGGAGCAAGACGACCTTGTGGAAGAAGAAGCTGAAGAGTGTAGTGGGGAGTCTGCTGAGCCTGAAGAAGAACCTGCTGGAGAAACGCTTGATACAGCTGACGAATCCTTCCATCTCGACAGTATGGCCTCTGAGCAGTCTGAAGCAGATGAGACAAGAGTCATCTCAGGAGGAATCCACTGGTGATGCTGAGCTTCAGTCAGGTGAGCAAATAGACTACTTCACCCAGGAAAGCGTCTCCACAAAAGAGGTTGGTCAGAGTTCCTCTCCTGCTGTAGGCGATTACAATACCTTGATAGACAGTGGGAAGAAACTTAAGGATGATGGAAAACTACAGGAGGCATTGAACTGTTTCCTGCAAGCACTTGACATAAAAAGTGGAGATCCTGAAGTTATGCTTATGACTCTAAACTTGTATAGAGAGCTAGCCCAGAAATGAAGTACGTGTACCTTTATTAAGTACAGTCTTACTTTTTCTTGTTAAATGTTTGTCTGAACTACATGAAGGTAACTTCTTGAACTAGCTTAAGACTGATGACCGCAACACATGCTGCTTTCAGGGTGGCTGAACAAACTCAGCATCTCCTCCTGCGTGAGGGAACAGTCTAAGAATCTAGTTGTCGGGTGTTGGGTGCTGGGGAAGGGACTTCATTGTAGACCCGGTTCACAAAGATGAAGACAGTTCATGCTCCTGTCTGGTTTGTTAATAAAAAGAGTTGTCTTTATGTCTAACCCCCTCTCTAAGCTTGCAGCCCTGGCTTCATCTTTCTGCTCTTCGGGTTTTGTCACTACCTCTCTCCTGAGAGGATGCTGAGGGGGTGTGTGGTTCCAGGGCAGCTTCCCACAGTCTCAGCTCAAGCTGCTGTAGTTCCTCCCTCCTTGACTTGAAATAAGCAGATGTGTCTGCCTGAATGTCACCCACCATTTGGGTGGGCTGGATGCTGGTGCAAAGGAGAGACCAGAACTATGGCAACCTGGTTTTAAGTTGGTCTGAGAATGTATTTGCTGTGGAGGGTTGGTTGCTGCTCTAAATCCTCCAAGCAATGGAGGCCAGCACAGCATCTGCCTGGTGCCAGGTCTAACACCCCGCCTGGTACCGCAGGAAGCCTTCTGCTCAGTTCCCGCCAGGCTGCGGTTGCCGCAGAAGGGTGCGGGGTTCCAGAAGGACCAGAATAGCAATTGGACCTTGACTGCTGCAAGGTAGCCAAACACCTCAAACCTTTTGGTATCACTGGAGGAGGTGAGCTTCAAAGAAGTCTCTAGTCTGACCTTGTTTGCGCCCCCTATCCATCTTTATTTCCCTCTGAGCAGTTGTGGTGGGTTGACCCCGGCTGGATGCCCAGTGCCCACCAAAGCTGCTCAATCGCTCCCCTCCTCAGCTGGATGGGGGCGGAGAAAATCTGGGTGGAGATAAGGACAGGGAGAGATCACTCACCAATTAGTCACCAGCAAAACAAGCTCAACTTGGGCAAAAATTAATTTCATTTGTCACCCATCAAATCAGAGGAGGATAATGAGCAATAAAAACTAAATCCTAAAACACCTTCCCCCCACCCCTCCCTTCTTCCCGGTTCAACTTCACTCCCCATTTCTCCACCTCCTCCCACTGAACGGCGCAGGGGGACGGGGAATGGGGGTTGCGGTCCATCATCACGTGTTGTCTCTGCTGCTCC